GTGTGTGTGTGTGTGTGTGTGTGTGTGTGTGTGTGTGTGTGTGTGTGTGTGCGTGTGTGTGTGTGTGTGTGTGCGTGCGTGCGTGCGTGTGTGCATACATGTGCATGTATGCTTATGAGTATGAAAAGCATGATAAAAAAGGTGGATATTAGAATATACACTCTTAGATTGTTTGTGTGCTAGAGAAAGTGTGTGTTTGGGTCTGTGTGAGTGTGCACATATGTTAGCCATGTGATGTGTATTCAAGTATTAGTTCGTATTTGTGTGATTAAGTGTATTCATTGTTACTGGACTGCTCCCATCACCTTGATCAGTTCTTATTCGGAATTCAGTTTAAAGAGTAAATGCAGTTATATTTGATTGGCAGATTGTTTTGACAATCGTCATCAATGCATGTAATTCGTTTTACCAAAATGTACGTGTTCACTAAAAGTAACCCAAGAATTGATAAGAAAAATAAAGACGACAACAATAATCAGCAAACAAACACTTGAAAAGGGAAGAATAAAATCGACTTTTGAAAAAGACAGGCAGACAAAAGAAGCAGTTTTGTTTCATCAACGATTTGCTAAATAATATAACTTCTTTTCTATGGGGGCAAACCCTTTGCCATTCAAGTTGCTTATGATTGTACCTATCCCACGGTATGCAAATTGTGTTTGCTGATTTGGGTTTTGTGCGAAAGTAACCTATAGATAAGCACATTTTGCAGTAATGTATTCTCTCACCTGTGACCCTCTGGCAAAGATGTCACCATTCTCATCTTTATGTGCGCTGAAAGGGTCGTACTTCCAATGTTCCTGTAACAGAAAGATCGACACAGGTTGACCTGTGATGACTGTAACTATTCGTGTGGTGACTGTAATTGTCCGTGTAATACTTTACGTTATCCGTTCTCTTGTATGTCTTGGACGTCGAGGACAGAAAGAGCTTTTTGTCTCTAGCTAGTTTGATGGCCTGGTTGGGTGGAATGTTGGACGTTTTGCGTATGACAATTGTAATTATTCGTTATCCGTGTGGTGATTGTAACTATTCTTAAGATATCTGTAACTATTCGTGTGTGGACTGTAACTATCCCTGTAATGACTGTAAATATTCGTCTGATGACTATAACTGTTCGTCTGATAACTGTATCTTTTCGTGAGATGATTGTAATTGTTCGTTATTCATGTAAGGACTATAACTATTGGTAAAACCATTCGTGAAATAACTGTAATTGTTCGTTATTCGTGTAAGGACTGTAACTATGTGTGTGGTGACTTTAACTACCCGTGTGATGACTGCAATTATTCGAGGGATGACTAAAACTATTAAAGCGTAAGCACTTCGAATGCAAGAGACAGCTGCTCTCTCAAAGTGGAATTCTCTCCCATTGTAAATAAGAGAGACGTTGACCGCTTACATAACTTTATTGGTTTAAAGACACATTAATTTATATCTTTTTACACCAGCTAGATCTATAGTTTGATACTTTTCCCAGCAACAGGCGTGACCAGCTGCCACCGTGATGGCCAGTTTATTATGTTCCTTTTTCCCCTTTGTTATAAAAGGCTTGTTGGTAATATTTATTACGGAATAAAGTATTTAAAAGGATTGTTGTTCATTAATTAGTATTAAATAGGCCGGTGTGCATGATGTGTCATTGTGAAAGCTGATGAAACATATCTCAATCTGTCTTTTTTCTGTCTTTTTTTTTTTTTGGTTTGTTGGCGAAACGCTTAAAGCCACCTGGGAGTGTGGGCTAAAGAAGTGATTTTAAAGGGATCTTTGTTGTAAGAGTTGGTAGTAGCACTTCATATGTTCAAAACGGCCACTCCATGTGGAGAAGAAAAGTGGTTATTTCAGGCAGGTGAAAACATGGACAGTGTTATTATGATATTTTTATATTAAGAATGCAAAAGGGGGACGTGGCAATGAGAAGGGGTTGTTTGGGTGGGTAATTGTCTTGGACTGGTGACCGTTAGGGCAGGTACAACTGTACATTCCCTTTTTATATGTCGCACTGGGAAGCTGCATTGTGCTGTATATATGACGTGAGGCAAATATTATGAGTATTTTTTCACTTTGGTATGGTACCTATAAGTTATTAGGGTTTCGGGAGTTCAAAGGAGACACAAAATGCCAGTGTAAAATACAAGGGGGAAGTGAGAGAGGGAAAGAAAGGGCGAGAGAGGGGGGAGAGATAGAAAGAGAGAGGTGGAAAGAGATGAAGAGAGAAGGAGAGAATGAGTGAAAGTAAGGGAAAGCGTAGTGAAACATTGTAAGAAATAGAGAGGGTAACAAAGATAGGTGGAATGAGTGTGTGTGTGTGTGTGTCTGTGTGTGTGTGTCTGTGTGTGTGTGT